GTGCCCCACGCTGACTGACAAATTATCCACCTCGTTTTTCTATGTAACTCGATCGACGCGGTGTACCCACAGTATACCGTTGGATGCTGTCTCCTAAATGAATGTCACCCTCGTTATAAAATCGTTACGTTCTGCTGCGGTACAGCGGTCGGAGTGGCCAGGCATACATTTGCACTGCCGCAATACGTAGACGTCTGGCGATTACATCTTTGACCATACACATGTCTGGGCTCCACTGAGCGTGATAAGTGAGTGAACTGTGTTCACCGTGACCCCCTCGAGGATTGGAGGTACATTGCCCGAGCAGGCTGAACATCTGTCTTGTCTATCCGAAATTTCGCGAGCGCAGTGACCGATCGTTTCAGCACCCTAAACGATTTGGGCATGTTAGGGTCGATCTAAATATAGGAAAATATGCATGAAATCTGCGCCCTTCATACAGGATTTTATGGGTTATTATATGACGATTATACGACATTGTATATCAATTTTTGAAGTTTACATACCTGATAACAATGAGGAAATAGTGCGACGGAAGAGGGGGGATTCATTAACCATCATTTCTGTAGTTGGAACTTCCCTATAGCATGTATAGGAACATCGCCTCCTGTGACGTGAAACGGTTCATCCCCCGGATTTATAATAGATGTTAAGCAAATGTCAAAAAGAGTTATTTGATAGGAATGGCTCATTTTGAACATGGCCGAGGAATACATTGCATCTATACACATGTGTACTGAGAACGTCATGATAAGCTGAGCAAGATTTTCGCACGATTCTGTTCATGTTGTTAACGAATAGCTCGCGTTTTTAAGGCGAATGCCTTATGACTTCATTTCAGTTTATGGCTAAATTACCAGTCAAATAGAGGTCATCTTCGGACAACTGTAAATGCCCTTTGTACATGTATGCTGATAATGGCTTCATATTATCGCCAGGACAGTATACGGGGAATATTATATTATAGGGGTTGCAGCATAATTGCCAATTTGTTGCTAAATACCAGTAATTTAAACCGCTTTTTTCTTTTAGAAATGATATACTAGTAGTCTGTTTCTGTCTACAACATACGTGATCCGTTTGTTCCGTGTTAAGGCCATATTAGTTTGATTATATGGATGACATCCGCGCGCGCATGAATTTTCGCCTGATTTAAAAAAGTTTTTGACTATACTGTAAATCGTACTGTAGCTGCAAAATGAGCAAATGTATGCCGTATATTGATTAAAAATATTGGAAAATGATACTTATATCGCAGAATGCCAAAACCTATTGAGAAGAAAATGTGAAGGAATGAAAATGAGTCTATTATTCACCATGCCAATAAAATATTAATGGCAAGGCTAACATGTGTTTAGCCAATCATGACCACGTAGATTTCATAATGAAGGCAACTTTTTTGCCAAACGTTATATTAGTTTTGGGGTTCCCAGAGGATGTCATCCATATCATCAAATCAACATGGCCGAACTGCGCAAAATATGACAAGAAACACCGACAGACTACAAAAAAATGAATTTTGGGTCGTCATTTCTTTGAGTCTCTCCGTCACGTTTGGATGATCCTGTGACTCCGAGACGTTATAAGTCCCCTCCCGCGCTGCACTCTCAACGACTGAAATATCAGAACAAGTCAGCCGTAAAATGAACGTATCATAAAACCATCTGGCGATGATACTAGTACTGGCACACCCACCGGTGTATTAGGTCACACCAATTTAATTTGTTGCTTCTCGGATTTTTATAGCCCCAAATGCTACGAAAGGAGCCACGAAGTCAACGCAAAAGGCTGAAATGCATTTCCTCATAAATTATGCAAATGAGGTCCTGATTTGAATACATTATCTTTAATGATGTTCACATTCACTTAGCTTTAAAAAGGCAAACAATGAATTTTGAACTTTTGAATTTAATCAAACCATTGCATTGATAGATGGAAAAACTGTTAAACAATTAGGAAGAAAATGACTTTCCTCGACTGTTGGGGGGCAAAATATGAGCATATGAGTTAATTCAGAACCAGCATTTTTTTTTCAAATCAGAAAAATGAAGAGGGGAATCCAAGAACCAACAAGTTAAATTGGTGTGGCCCGGAACGTTACCCGCGGCACACTGGTACTATGGCACGTCATCACTGAATAAAATGCAATATTTCACAAGTGATCCATCAGGCAACCGGTCAACTAGTCTATGTTTCTAACATATATCAAGACGCAACCAAGAAGAAAAATCACACGCCATTTTGATTTATTTATTTATTTGCTGATTTAGGCAACATTTTTATCGTGTCGATGCAGCTTGAATCCAACCAATGTCACAAGTAGAACTAATCCACAGACAAATGAACGTTACAAGTACGGAGAAACCTGTGTGGAGACATGAATATAGATAAAATCTTGGCATAGAGTGGCCTTTCATAGAAGAGCGAACAAAATACATCTTAATGATTTATGTGGAGTACTAATACTTGACAAAGCTAATCGGTACGTCATCATACTAATAATTCCACATCTACGATATGAACATTCATAATTTTCTAATAAACGGCAAGACAAAAGACATCTTACAGACCAAAAAGACATAGGAATGGAAATTGATTTTCATTCTCCTCAGCTATAATAAAATATTCATAAACGTATGCCACAATATATAAACGCTACGAAACAAGACATATTTATTGCACAGGTTACAGCAATAACATCATAATTAACTGAGCAGCTGATATGTTTCTTTGCCGTTTACTGGATCATGGCATTTCAAGAATGAAATATTTCTCATCAGCGTAACATGTGTTACATGTATTACCGCGCCAATGCAAAATAAGTACAACATGTAGAAGAAAATGCCTCTAAAATCGTCAACTATTGGTGTTGGTTCTGCCTGCTAGGATGTCGTTGTAGCCCGTCCCTGAAAAGCAATACACGTTCGCATGCGCTCTTCTCTGCTGACCCACTGTTCTCTTTTGTGCCTCGTATTTTTCCTTGAGATTGGTCATGTACGTCGTTTGGGGCAGTCTCAACCTACGGCAGAACTCGGCGTCTACCAAGAAGTCCTTGTTCCATTTTGACGCAGGGATTCGGAGCTTCCACGACGATTCCGCGACTTCGCAGAATTGCACGACTTTAGTCCGCATGTCCTCAAAATGGTAGACTTCGTAGAAGAAGTCGGGGCCCTGGCGTTCTATTCTCGCCCACAAGGTGGCGTTGAAGATATCGTACAGGGCGTAGTCCACGTTGGACCATTTTCGATGCGCAGCTATGAGATCAGGGAATTCTCCCTGCATTTTATACTCATAGTTTCTTGTATTTTTGGGAGAGTAGAGAATGTCGCTTAGGGACCAGCACATGTACCGCCTCAGGAGTACCAGCGACTCAGTCAGGTGTTCCAGTATGAGAACCAGATCAAACTCTGAGTCAACTTGCCGTACGAAATCGCGAACCGCGCTCTTGTTCCTAGCCTGTGTGAGATTCGTGAACCCTAGGTCGTACGCCATGAAGTTCCTGGTGTAGCGAAACGGCAGCCTTGTCCTGAAGTTCCTCTCATATTTCGCGGGATGCTGCAGAAACTCTCGAATGGGATCCTTCCCGCGGATGCCGTACTTTCTGGGCACCTCGTACCAACTGAAGGATGATTTCAGCTGTTCGAACGGATGGCGTAAAATAGTGATGTACGCTGTGTCACGAGGCATGATACTCCGGATTTTCGTCTTGTTGAACACCACATGGTCGACCAGAAGGTTGAAGCTACCGTCCAAGGCCGGGAGGTAGTCATGGGTGCTGTTCACTCTCAGCTGGTACGGCCATCCGAGGCTGACGCGATGCCGAGGAATGACGAAGGAGAGGTTGCGGAGATCGCCGAAGCGCTGCAGGATGGTGCTGACCGTGGAGCCGCCCGCCTTGTGGACTTTGGCGAACGTGATGTTGATGCGTTCTTGGCAGGTACGGCAGGGAGACGGGTGATGCTCAACACTCCTACAACAACAAAGGAGATAGAACAAAGTTCATCTGAGTTGGTATTGATTATGAGAAAATTTAATGACGGAGGGGGGGGGCGATATCAACTTTCAACGATAGTTGACACATTGCTGACGCCATACATGAACAAAGCTACGTGATCACGCTATCATCAGTGTTTGGGTCAGAAGGCTAAGGAAGACCAACTGTATGATTCGGTCGAAAATTTCGGTGAGATTTTTTTTAGTTGCAGAACAGTTAAAGCACTTGCAAATAAAGAAGAAAGAGGGTTTGTTATGACAATATGAGAGACTCAAAACACACACGTTGTTAAACAGAGATTTACACACCTGTAATGTGGTAGCATGAATATCTTAGGATATTCTGGTACACCGTTCCTGCCACCGTACAGGCCCAGGGAGTACAGGGTACCGAGGCAGACGACAGCGCACACACCAAGGGACGCCATCACTGAAGGTCGCCATGGTAACGTGATCATCGCTGTAGCAGAGGTGACGAACGGCAAACCATTAGGAGAGACATTCACATAGCACTCAATGTCACTAGGGATCGGGAAAGCTTGTGTAGACTAGAGACTAGAGACCACTAAAAACGTCTGGAAGTAAACTCTGGTGCTTTTTTTAATCCAGTAGTAGCAATTTGTATAAATAATGAAAAAAATGACGAGCACAAAATATTGTTTCCTTTCTTTCTCGCCGGTTGCTGACGTCACGTGTCTGCGAGATCACGTGTCCTAAGTGATGGTCCATTTGATCCTGACGAAGGTTGCAGTACGGACAGCCGAACATTGGGAGGGGTGTGATTGTTGGAAGGTAGTTCGCCTGTTTATATTCTTTACTTTCATTATAGTAAAAAACTTTAAAATCTTAAAAAAGACTTAAAAAAGAAAGATTAACCAGGAATGTGTTTTTCAAATTTCCAAAATATTTGAAAAAATTTGTCACAACATGCATGATGACTGTTTTTCACTTGTAAATGAAGTTTATTACAGACGAAACACATTTCATGTAAGAGTCTTATTATTTCCGATTGCCAAAAGGCCGCATGTTGTGTGGTCCTTTCAGCGGAACTCGTTCACAAGAAACTGTGGTCGTTAGGTCAGGGATCAACATGTACGTTACTAGTATATCCTGTGCACGGATAGGTTATCTACTGATCGTGCTGGGCAGAAGAAAAGGCTCCACATCTAGCATGTTGCGCGCGGGCACACTTTTTAATTAAATCATTACAGATTCTCTGTAAGATATCGCGTGGCTGACTTCGTTTCACAATACATGTTTCCCGCGGTGTTTCCAGAGTTAATTTGCTTCATGGTGGCGAATTCGAGAAATAAACACGTTCTCGACAGAGAAACTGGAGCTAGCACGGCACTATTTACTTTGCAGAAATGACAGTACAGGGGACCGATCATTAATACCTTTGCCGAGAGGTTGTGCTATCAATTATGTAAATTAAGACCTAAGTTGCATAATTAATGAGAAAATGCTGTAATTACATAGTGGTAACTGCCAGGAATTTCATACTACAGGCATTTTGGAAATTAAGGGAAGGTGAACATCATCAAGCATAATTATCAATATGGGTACTTTATGCATAATTCATAACAGTCTTTGCTAAGGTATGATTGTAATTAGGTGCAGAATATGATAATGAATATGATATATTTCATAATTCATGATATAATTCAGGCAAATTACGATTTTTAATGAGAAGCATAACTAATCGTAGGGTAAACCTAATTTGGCGAAGGGGTCGTAGAACTCTAGTTTATTTTGTAACCGAGTTGGGTACATTTGTAGAGTAGCTTTGTCAGCCATTTCCAGTCGGATAGGCCTATGTTCTGACCCCCCTACGTGTATGTTCCAACACCCTACATGTAGGTCATGTAGCATCTACAATGTACCAGACTCCCCATGTTGCTTGCTAACTCCTCTGGCAAGCTATTCAGTCTATGTGGCCAATTTCTAATATACTCCAGCAACTTGGGGTGCCTTGCAGAGGCCACGAACATCCCTACGTTCCAACATAGGGGTTAGCATAGTTGGTAGGATAGTACTGTCTGGCCAGTTACTGATACTGCCTTTCGGTTACGATTTTGCCATCCAAAGATCTCATATTTGATAGTATCTGTATCTGTATAGCCGGTGTAACCGCCTTTCGGCGTAACACACCAGCTTCGCAGGCACGCGGCGCGGCGGCAGCTGGCTACATTACACCGATCGACTTGTTGCACCTAACCCTTGAACATCCAACTCCAAAGGTCCCATATTTAATAGTAGTACTACTTACTTATCATCTTCGTCCCAAGCGAGGCATAAGGTCATCTACCCCGTCCCGGGCCTTCCAGTCTTGCAATGACACCGCGAACGGTATACGTGATTGACAGAATTGGGGTGTGCGGCCGCCGCCTCTGTTTTTGCAGCTTTACTTCGCCGTCGAAGGATGGGGAGTCAAACAGAGTCTAACCGTTTTCAGCATCGACCTTATTTTATGTCGGTGACTGACCCACGAAAAACAGATGAGTGTAATAAAGGATGTCGTTTCTTTCGCTCCGCAGAAGGTTTATATTTTTATAGTGCCTATATAGACGATGATACATGCAGTATCTTGCAACGTGATTTACAGAAGTGGCCTCATTCACGTAACATACAGTTCTCGCTGCCCCAGAAAAAAGCGGACAGCGAGTGCAAGAAGCCCCGTTACAAATCGGTTGGCACCCAGGCTTAGTCCTAGATGGAGGTGAATTGGCGAATTCTGAGATCCACTTGTAAATTCTCACGTGACCACTGTCAGCCAATCAAATGGTACACAAATGTGGCAATGAATGTACTTGTTATAATTACGCTCGGTGGTTGACATACATAAAATATGGAGGTTAAGTGTCCTTCAACTATCCTGTTTGATTTTCATATCTCATTCAGAAATTAAGCTTGAGTTTTTTTTTCAGGGAACAACGGTATGACATCTCTGGCTACTGATCTTCCCCACAAAGTATCTTTTTAAGTTTCATGATTGTTACGAAATGAGCGGTGACGTCGGATGGCTTCGTGCCAAATTAGATATTAGTGGGAAAGAGCGAGAGTCGATCTTCCCTTGAAGACATAACATTGCATCAAATTATTCACTAACATACGTTTTTTCCATCATTTTTGTATCAAGCAAATCATATATAATTATAATTCTCACCGCAACAATCTTTTGATTTCTTTACGAGGTACAAACGTATGTCTAAATCCTCAACGCTCATCTCGGAGAACCGGTACCATTCTGGTATCTCCTACGAACACACGGAAAAAACATTTCACGTCAATTTGAACATCTGTTACAGTTATCAGCAACCGTACAACTCGCCTTGGAAGTAAGCAGTCAATATACAGATTTTTTTACTGTCAACTAACTACAATATTGAAGAAGATTGTAGATGATGATAAAGATGACTTAACGTACGGTTCAACCTTAATGCATCATATGATATTATATGATAAAGTCATCCGGACACAAACCACGCTTGGCAGCCATTGTAAGGCCCCCATTCTGCGACAAATTCGTGCGAGCGAGTTTTCTGTACTGACGCGGCAGCACGCGGCCTACTGGTCTTACCTACAGTTCCCTTGTCTGTCAGTCCTGACTGGCCATCCTCCATTCCTTATCGTTACCTAACGCCGTACACACAGAACACCTGTTGAAGAAGATCCGCCAGGTGAGTAGAGGAGAGATAACTTGCTGTCTTCAACAGCGCTTTGCTGTGCGAACGACTACCGTTAAGTGAGGGGGCAGTTCATTAATGCTATCAGTAGGGGTGATAGGCCGGTATGTATGTATTTAACGTAGTGATTAACGAATTGTCGATGAGGAGCCGTTTAAAGAGAATTTTTTATTCATCTTTTTTAAAAAAAATGGCGCTAACACTTGCTTTTTCATCTTCAGAATCAAGACACGCTGGTAACGAAGGAGAGTGGGTTATTTGGTTATCAGCCTTACAAAAATATTTCACTTGAACGAGAAACAAAACATTCACTCACACCCTGTGCCAGCGTCTACTAGGCAAGGTGTTGGTAAAACAAATTTGGCCAAGTTTCTCTTTGAAATGGCCACGCCTAACACTCTCTCGAAACTTGATTTGGAAAAAAAACAAAACCTTTAGAGATTCCCCATAAATGCTGCGGTATCTGAATAACAAGAATATCATTTAGGCGTTTGAAATGAAAAGAAATAAGCTTAATTCAGATTATGTGTGAATTGGGACTGTTTCTGTATATATGATACGCCTTGCTCGAAGTCGGAATGGTCCTGGTATGACGTATCAAAACTAAACGGCACCGCGGTAGCTGCCGGCGACTTTGACAAAATATAGCCTCGATAGCATGCCAAAAAACTGGGGGTTTTGAGGGTCTTCAGGGTCTTTTATGTGCTATTTTCTGATTGCATATAGACAACATAGCCGGCCTGGTTGAATTACCCCCGTTTTTCAGAGCTGGGCTAATCAGAAAACAGCCGAAGACCACCAAACCCCCAGTTCTATAAGCCTGCTACGGAGGTTACTTGGACATATATTTACGCTCCAGTTGGTCCAACCAAAACTGTTATTCATTCCCAGCACGCCCGGTACAGTATGTACATGTAAACATACTAGAAGCCAGGACGTGCTTGGGTACTGGCATGAAGCAATACAAATGCTTTTTCTGTACTGATGAGTGTTTTTTTCTCCAGACCCCCTGTGCATGACCGATTTTTTCACCACATAGCGGCGTTATTACCTTCGCCAAGAAGGTTATGTTTTCAGTAGCGTTTGTCTGTTTGTTTGTCTGTTTGTGAACAGCATAACTCAAGAAGCTTAGTATGCATTGTCATGAAACTTGGTAGGTGGGTAGGTCTTGATGAGACCTAGAAATGATTAGATTTTGGGCCCCCTGGCGGCTTTTGTAGGTACTGCAGCAGAACTTCCGGTTTTGATATCTCGCGATCTGGACATGCTAGGGTCACGAATTTTGGTTGGTAGATAGCTCTTGAGATAGGGAAGAAGTGACATGAGTTTGGGCCCCCTAGCGGCTTGTTCTGGAACTGCAGGAGCATTTGTTGAAAAATTTTTGAAGGATAATAACCCAAGAACTGGTTGACGGATTGTTGTGATTTTTGGTATGTAGGTAGCTAAAGGGATGCTTGACATAATCAAATGACAATTATGCAAATCAGGAGCTAATTTACATAATTAATGAGGATATTCTATAAATCTGCTTTGTTCGATAATAGGACTATGAAACACTTGTGACATGTAATTGAGAATGAAAAAAACATCTGAGGATATAGATTATGTAAATGAAGACGTAATTTGCATAATTAATGGGAAATGTTCATAATTTCATAGTTGTAACTGCTGGGAATTTCATACTTGAAGTTAAGTGAAGGCGAACATCAATAAACTTAATTTATTCAAATTATGACCTCATTTGCATAATTTATGAGGAAGTGCTATAATAGCCTTCTTGTTAAGATAAAGCTGTCATTGGGTGGAGAATAAGATCAACTGATATAACTCATGCAAATGAGGGTCTTATTTGCAAAATCAATTATCAAAATTAATTGTATAATTCTTCAACCGCAAGGGTTAACATCATTTGGCGAAGGTATGAGGTCGTGGAACTCTTGTTATTACTTTTGCCAAGTAGTATTTTCCCGTCAACTTTTGGCGGGGATAGGGAAACATAGGTTCCATCCTTTGATCAGTTTTAACGCTCAGCTGAGTTTTCTTCCTTAAAAGTACGCCTCCTCAGATGTCAACTACATCTTTTGTAGCATTTCAAACTCCGACTTAATCACAGGACCGCCATGCCTTCTTTGATACTGTATAGAATACATCAAAAACCTTCTTTGATATGGTATAGAATACATCAAAACCCATTTGAACAAGATGATGAAAAGAAGTAAATATAAAAGATAGCGACAAGAAAAAAAGCACAAGCTGTTGGCGTCCCTTCTAGGCACTTGTCCCTGGTACTTCATTATTTTCTCTCCTTTTCTCCCTAGCGCTCTTACTGTACATGTAGATTGAAGTATCCTACGGGCGGTACGTTAATTGCAGGTAGCTAGGAGATGCGGCAGTCAGCGGTAATAAACTCCCAGGTCTGTAAATTGAAATGAAGACCCGCGGTTCTCTTGTCGCTCTTATATCATTGGGACAATTATCTTTAATAAGGTGACTCCATAAGGCAACATGGATTCAAATTTTCTAGCGAAAGAGTCATCATTAGAATATCATATTTCATTTTAGGAGAGAAACCGGCGAAACGAAACAAACAGGTTTTCAAGGGATGAGGCAAAATCTTTTGTATTCAGCATTTTGGTACGCCTTCAATATTGAATATTCCTTGAACATATACGCCTTGAATATTCTTCTATGCATCCGTACTTCCCAAGATGATTGAAATTATGTCGTGAAATACTTATTTAAATTAAATCTGATTCGTGTTCTTCGCTGGAGAATATCAAATCGACGTTTTCGTTTGATTCATTCTAATGATGTTGAGTTCGTCAAAGATTGGTTTCAATAAATAGTGGCTCTAACGGTTATACAATGATTTAATATTTTAAGAAATTGAAAACAATGTAACAGAAGACATTATCTTATTGCGAGACTGGGCTAGTCTTCCGAGCTTTGCTTTCAAGCCAGGTAATGATATTACTGATAGAGGAAGATATGGTTATTTATCGGTTTTACTGCAGTTAAGAATGGGAGTGAATAATGGGGATAAAACGCTACCTGTAAGTCTGGTAGGGCCACAGCAAGTAATGTTTATGGATGACATCAGCGAGCGCATTGATTTTCGCCTGATTTTTGAAAAAAAAAAAACAAGAAATTTTCTTGCCCTTTGACGGTCAACATGCCGAAAATGGTCAAAATGGCATGTCTTGCCATGCTGGAACGTGTATGGCAGATAAGCATGAAAGAAAGG